ATTGTACAAAAATTGTATGGTCAGATTGTAACGTGTGCAGTGACCTTTAGACAGCTGGTCTGGCCCCACCCACTCTCAGTGCAGCATGTGCTCTGTCACACCTCCTTTCCTGGGACTGGGCGGAACTGTTGCTCTGTGTAATGCAGCTGCAGTTCCAGATGACCTGTTGGATTGTGAGGAGGTAGGGTGACTTCAAAGCAGGGGGCTTTGTCATGCAGAGACACCTGTCAGGAATCGGCCATGAAAGTAAAATATGCCAAACCCTAACCCACATAAGAAAAAAACAAAACTGTAAGATTCATTTTACTTGAAACACAAATATAAAATGAGCATCTATCCTGCATGCAAGGACAACCCAAACCACATACAACATAGCAACAGCTGCATGTGTCAGTGGTAGTTCACATGTAATCTTATAGTACATATGTACTACGACATAACTGCCATTGACAGATGCATGCATTGTCAACCTTGCAGGGATATGTAAAATGTGTGGCGCAATTTTTTATTTTTGCACGTAGGCGCATCCGATGCGTGTTTGCGTAGTACTTGCGTGTACGTAGGGGACTTAAAAACATATTTTTTTGCTACTTTACTAGCTTCACCAGCTACTTCTCCTGGCTGTAAGAGCCAGAGAATGTGCACAGTGACACAGCGGTTAGAAGCCTGCTAATCTCCCTCCGATCTGTCCCGGGCCCGCACGGGGAACAGCTGAGCCCAGGGAAGCCGGCAGCGGTGGGGGGGTGGCACAGCGCCGCACCAACGACTAATCACGTGCACATAAACAGCAATTGCCCGCTGTTTAACACGATACCTGGAACACGTTTGCAGCAACAGCCGTGTTGTTGGAATAACCACTTCAAGCGGATGACTTGTAATTATGTGAACCCACATGAATTAATTGAAGTACTCACTGATCTAGAACTGGTAGGGACCAGGTCTCCAATAACCTCATAAGCTCCATGCTTGCTTTCAGGCAGTTACTAAGACATGCAAATATGACTGGCTAAGAGCCTGAGCCACCAAAAAGAAAAATGAAGCAATAGCAAAGCTGATATTTTTATTCTGATGGAATCCCTAAACCAGAATTTTCTAAGTGTGCCCCTCAAGTCCCTCCAATAGTCAATCAGGGGAATTCAATATCGCGTTTGCACCAGAATTCTGGAGGTAATGCAGCCTGAGAAATGTCTGCACCAAGTTCAAAAACATGCTGCACCATTTTCCGGACTAAATTCAGGTCGTTCTCATTTCTGCCATACTTCATTCTGGCGCTCTGCTTGCAACATATTCAATAAATAAACTCCAACAGTCCGGTAATAAGAAAAGTGATGCAAAGTACTTTATAGCGCAACTAGTCTGTCACATGTTCATATTGTATGCGTCTGTCAGAGGATATTGGTGTATCCTCACTATATAAAAGTTGAAGCTGCATGTTTACTGTTGTCACTATGTTTGCCAGAAGAAGGGACCCTGCGTGGCTCGAAACGTCGGCTGTATGACGCATGTGACAAGTCAATAAACAAGTGCCTATACTACTTGCACATATCCTCGAGTGCTGGTGACTTACGTTATGGACTGTTTCTGTCATGCTACGGTGCCATCCGTGTTGTCACTTCAAGCACCAATTTCCTGTTAAGGTCTATATGCTGTACGGAGTGGTGGTGACTTCTTGATATTTGTCAGAGGATGACATGCACATGACAGGTGCCACAGTCCTCGAGGAGCCAAATGAAATCCGTCTCAGAAACATATGGGACATTTTGGACGGAGATGACACACGTCTAGATTTTATCAGTGTGCAGAAATTGGTCCCAAAGTTTGTCTCTCAAGCCAGTGCTAGTTTCATAGACTTGCATCAAATTCATGAATGCTTTGCGGCCATGTGACACAAATAACGACACTATTCTTGTAACCAAGTCTTTTCCTGTGTCTCAGCAATACTCTTTTTGAATTCTCCTGAATGTATTGCAGGTACCAACACCCGTATATAAAAATCACATTGCCATGACACTTCCTTTATCATGCACATGTGAGGTGTCCAGCACAACTGTTGGTGCGCAGGTTATGGTGTACAAGAGTTTCTGCATACAGTTGGATGACTGCTAAAAGACAAATCCAGGAAGGCAGTACAGAGACTGGTAGCTCTGCCGATGACTTCATACCACTGAGGAATGAAAGCTGTGACCTCAATCTTGTATTTTCTTTATGAGTATAGAGGAGTAGCATTAAGTTCCTGCGGAATGTTTTCATTATGGTAACTGGTATTTTGGGGATACCGTTGGGTGTTTTCATTAAAGCTATAAGGGTTAGTTCACACCAGAAACTGCATCACAACTGCGTGCGTCTGCACAGTTGCACTGCAATGTGTTTTGATGCGTTTGCAATGCATTTTTTTAAACTGCACTCAGGGTTAGTTCACACCAGAAACTGCATCACAACTGTGTGCGTCTGTGGCACAAGACACAAGAAAGGAAAGCATTGTAATGTATTTTGACTGCAGCAGTCAAAATAAACGGACTGCATCACAACTGCATATGGTGTGAACTGGCCTATTGTTAGCACTTGGGTGGTATACAACTATTTCACACCTTGCATTTATATGATTGAGCATAAATGGACTCACCACATTGCTGTTTATGTACCCTGTTCATTGCACCAAAATCCGGGTTCAGCTTTCCACAAATCTCCCTCCACTTGGCCATCTTCTGTCGGTTGTTTTTGTACTGGGGATGCTTGCTGTCGTACAGCAGGGGACAGTCCTGCACATATCTGATAAATTCTTCAGCATCCACACCTTCCATCTCTGTTATTTCTCTCCACACTCCAACCAGGAAGTCCAGGGATGATGACAATCAAATGTGAGTTGTTTTTTTATGCGTTCCGTTTGCAATGCATTTTGGACAAGTAGGACAAGCAGTCGTTTTTCTGACTGCAGTTAAATCGACTGCAATGGTGTGAATTAGGCACAAGAAAGCCCATAGGAAAGCATTGGGATGTATTTTAACTGCGCACAACTGCATATGGTGTGAACTGGCCCCAATTATGATTTGTATAATGTTTGCTCTGTGTTGTGTATTTTATGTTGCCTTTTTGTATCAAATGGTTGGATTGGTCAATAACTGTCTGTATCTTTGAGCCATCTCTATATTCATTCATTCTTTGTATACTTTTATGTTTGTTTCTGAACTCCCCCTGGATTCGTCACATAAACTAGACCTGGTATCAAGCTATTTATCACAGTCCAGCATACCTGTGCTTAGTCTATTCAGGGCTGAGCAACAGGTTTACGTTAATGTCCCCCTTACTTCTACTCCCTTCTATCACACCATTACGCTGCCAGAAGTGAAGAATATACCTGGTACATCCTCATGATTGACATGCAAATCAAATCAAAGTCTAATAGCTTACACAGTGCAACTTCTGCTCCTGGTAACCATGCAGAGCAGAAGAAAAGAAAAGCAAAGTTGAGTATGTGCTGCTGGTGAACGGGAAAGGGGGGGGGGGGGGGGGAGAACTACATCCAGGGCATTGAGTCAGGGTATACAGAAACCAGAGGCAACCAGGAAACTTGGACTTTCAGGATTTTCTCACCAACTCAAAAAAATTCAGGTAGAAGCACAGAAAATCAATTCTTTTGAATGCTCGCTTGCAGTGTTTATCCTTTCATCATTTTTGTCACTTGCAGTGTGCCTTTGAGCTGGCTTGAAAATGTGACTACTCTAGGAGTCAATTACCTAGCACAGCTCCCTCTCTAATTGCATATCATAGCCCTCCCCTTATACTAGGAGTCTCTAATTACTCCTCCTCCACACCTCACATAACCTTCTATGTAGCTGCCAGGGAAGGGGGGTACTATACACTTGAGTGACAGCTCTGAGTCTGCTGACATCACATCCAAGATGGTGGCATGCAGCAGTGTTCTCAGGGTATTTGGATGTCTACATAGGGAGTCTTTACAGATAAATAATTCACATAAAGAAGTTAAATGCACATATAATCTTATTGGAAGATTGTTGTCTGGTGACAGGGTCTTTCTAAAGCACATTTCAGCTTTTCAAAGTTATGAACTGCAACGCCACTCAGCCCAAGCCAACGTGGTGACACCCCCCGGGAGATATATCCATGACAGCCTGGGCTCACAGGAAGCAGTCTGAATGACACTGGTCATTATTCAACCCAGAAGAGGACAAGTCCCAAACAAAGGGTGAGTAATGCACTGAAAGCTGAAGTTTTATTTTTAAACCTTATGCACTCTTTATTGTTCCGCTATAACACTGAATTTCCTTTAAAAATAGCAATATTTAAATAAATGAAATCCATAGAGTGCAGGGAACATAAATATATTTGCACAAGCTTAGGTTTTACCAGAATCTTTCAATTAATACATAAGCAGAAAAAAAAATTGTGAAAATCCGCACAGGCTTACTTGCTGAGGCTTTACCTTCCCTGATGCACATTTACTGCTACGCACTACAAAAGCAAACAAAAGATTAAGGGCTCATTCAGACGAGGAGTTTATTTCCAGAGGCAGATTACTGTGACAAGGATCTGCGGGTTCCTGAAGCAGGAATCACAGCGGACAGCTGTGGCCGCTCACCCTGTAAAAAGCAATGCCAGGATGACAGCAGCCGCAGATGTATGCAGTGATTGCATCCGGTTACAGACCGCCCATCAACGCAAACTTACCGCCTCCAGAAATAAACACCTTGTGTGAATGAGGCCTTGCACACATACTATGAGCCAAATAACAATGAAGGCAGCCGCTGCAAACTGCTCAACTGTTTAAAAAAAAATACTCTAGGCTTCCAATTACAAATTGAGAAGACTCCATGCGAAAAATGCAGGTTCTGCATTAATTTAATTGTATTTAAAGTATCATCCATCACACACACAACACCTACTAAAGCCAGTATGACAGTACATACACACAACATAGGCTTTGGTTATGAATAGATGAACAGATGGGTACCTGCTTTCACTTACTTTAAGTGGTTTCATTTTTTTTTTTAATCTCTGTAATATGTTCACTGAAACAGAAATTCTTGTCATGTTTCAACACAGAAGAGAATTATGGGGCAGTATTCAATTTATAGGAAGATATTAAATGCTAATACTACACTAACTTACATTATAAAACAAAGAAAAGAAATCAGTGAACAAGTATCCAAACAGCTTCCTCTAATCTACACAGTGAAAAGCATGAAAGTCATCTCAAATGGGTTCTACTTGCTGGATTCAGTAATTGCCTTCATATGCTCTAGGCAGAAGGGTCTGATCACATATTTACAAAAACAAAGCATCAGGCCACCATTTCGAGCCTTATTAAACAGGCGCTTTGGTTACATAAAATAGTGAACGCCACCTCTCACTCCACCACTGACTCCTAGGGCACATAAATCTTCATTCACCATTTATACACAAAGATCTCTTAATCGCGACTTTCGGGAGAACTGGAACGAGACTGCCGTTTAGGAGAGCTCTGGGATGGTTCTCCGCTTCCAGATTTCTGGTTGTATTTCTTTTCGGGTGTACGACTGGGAGATCGGGATCTGCTGGCAGAACGAGAAGAGCCACGAGATTTCGACTTGCTGCGGGATCTGGAGTAGCTTCTTGACCTGGACCTGCTTCTGAGGGAAAACCACTAGTTTAGCATAATCATAATCCCAAAGGACATCTATAGCCTAATATCAGTGCAGCGCAATCTACAGAAAAAACAGGCAGAGCGGCAATTCTACAGAATATCACTTTTGCACTTTAACATGTGACAAGCTGGGATACTCAAATTCTCTGAGCAGTTACATAGCTCAGCCTATCTGGCTTATTCAATAAGACAGTGTAAATGGCCAAGTACAAACATCTGTACTTTTAGCAACCGTCAGAATCCACTCTGTACTGTTAAATGGTTGTGGTGGATTACCAGACCTTGCTTGCAGTTTATTGAATAAGCCTGTAACTATTAAACCAAAAGAAAAACCCCGCAACCATTTTCCACTTTGCAACATCAGCTTTTTAGTAACTTTTATACCTGAATACAAGTTCCGAGCTTTAAAGTGAACCCATGCTCACTTAAAGCTCCCCAAATCACTGACAAATGTGAATAGGCACCTATGGGTGCCTGCACATGTTGATATACTGTGCAGCATGTACCAAGAGCCACAACACCCAAAGTACTTTGCTGCCTATATGGAAGATTAAATTACAAGATTTAAAATCCCAACTAGGCCTTCCCATTCCTCACTACTGACCATCATAGTGATGAATAACCAGGTGTGAGTTCAGGAATCAAAGTTGCTATTTACTTTTGGAGCTACAGGGCCACTTAGCAAAGTAACTTAACATCAGTGCAAGGGCCCATGTGCCTGCCAATTAGAGCTTGAACATACATTTACATTAAAGGAAACTAGTAGCTGATTTGTATGGGATTTCAAATACTTGCTCTCTACTAGTTATTTACTCCCCATGGTTATTGAGTACTAAACATGAATAATATCAATAACAAAAGAAGAGAAAGATGAAATTTACCTGTGCTTCTTGCGATCTTCAATTAGCTTTATTTTACGACCACTGAGCTCCATGCCATCCAATTTTTCCATAGCGTTCTTCATATCATTATAGGATGCAAATTCCACAACCCTAACAGTAAAACAAAAATGATTAGCTGAACAATAAACAAACCAAAACATGGCAGCTGCATTTGATTGTGTGTAAAATCCCAAGCAGTGTGACTAGTGCATGAACGAATTGACAACATGACCAAAAGTCAACTCAGAACATGTGGCCGGTTATCTCTTACAAACAATGGAGGGAGCGGAGGGTGGCAATGACGACTGATGAAGATAAGTGATCTTTGGAGGGTGCTTTGGTTCCGAGTCATCATAAAAGGGTAGTTACACTTAAAGTGACATTAAACCCTCAGATTTTTTAACTTAAACCAATACTGTAATGTGTGCCTTACTGTAATCCATGGTAGTTTCCCTTCTATTTGCTGCTCTTCCTTTTAGGCCCCGTTCCCACTGCGCGATATGCAAATCGCGCGTTTGTTGCGCGATTTGCATATTGCGCGACACTGCGAGATTTGCCGCGCGATATCGCGTTCAAGCTTGCATTGAGCAAGCTTAAATCGCGGCTAAATCCGCTCCAAAAAGGGTCCTGCTGTAGCGACACAGGACCCGCGACAGCAGGACCCTTTGCCCTATTGGATTGCATTGGAGCGCGATATCGCGCAGTAATTTGCCGCGATATCGCGGGAATTACCCGCGACAGCAGGAGCCTTTGCCCCATTGGATTGGAGCGCGATATCGCGCAGTAATTTGCCGTGATATCGCGGGAATTACCGCGCGATAAATCGCTCAATGTGAACGGGGTCTTAAATCCTCATGTCTTCTCATGCTTGGGGAGAACTTCCCTTTGCAGCTGACTGCCTCTTCCTGTAGTGCTGGCTCAGGTTGCAAGCCTACACACAGACACCATGTATCCATTTCAGAGACAAGGCAGTCTGCTGCAAAACAGAAGTTCTGCCCAGCATGAGAACAGATACAGATTTAAAAGGAAGAGCAGCAAAGAGAAGGGAAACAACCATGGATTACAGTAAGGCACACATTACAGTATTGTTTTATGTTAAAAAATCTGAGGGTTTAATGTCACTTTAACTGTATCAGTATTAGATCCACGGCCTCTTGAGTTGAGACTCAAAATTGTACCAATCAGATTACTAACAATCACACGACATACAGAATGAGAACAGATGCCTGCATTTTTTTCACATATCCTAGAGCCTGTCAGGAGACCCCAAGCCTAGGGAGGTCAAAATGCAAACAACAAATTCAAGCTCTGGAGATTTAAGGATGTGTCAGAGCTGGGCATAGCTTACTGAGTACCCCAGATTCTGGATTTCCCGGACACTCTAGCTAAATGGACAAACAAATGTCTTGGGAGGTTTTATTGCTTAGGTTAGGCACACTTTGCTTAACATACTTCAGAAAAAAAATCACTCGTTAGAAAGAAAATATACACCGATCAGCCATAACAATATGACCACCCGCCTAATATTAAGTAGGTCCACTTTTGCTGCCAAAACAGCCCTGACCCACTGAGACATGGACTCCGCTAGACCTCTGAAGGTATGTTGTGGTATCTGACACCAAGCTGTCAGTAGCAGATCCTTTTCCAGCACATCCCACAGATTGAGATCTGGAGAATTTGGAGGCCAAGTCAATACCTCAAACTTGTTGTGTTCCTCAAACCATTCTTCAACCATTTTTGCAGTGCGTCAGGGCGCATTATCCTGCTGAAACTGGCCACTGTCATCAGGGAATACCGTTTCCATGAAGGGGGTTATTTGGTCAGCAACAATGTTTAGGTCGGTGCTATGCAGCCCCATACGCAACAAACCAGATGCACTGTGTTCAGACACCTTTCTAACTGAACCACCATTAACTTTTTCACAATTTGAGTTACAGTAGCTGTTCTTTTGAATCGGACTACACAGACCAGCCTTCGCTCCCCACGTGCATCAATGAGCCTTGGCCACCCATGGCCCTGTCAATGGTCAGCGGTTTTCCAACCATCAACAACTTTTGGTAGGTCCTGACCACTGCAGACCTGGAACATCCCACAAGAGCTGCAGTTTTGGAGTTGCTCTGACCTAGACATATAGCCATCACAATTTGGCCCTGTCAAAATCGAATCCTTTCACTTGCCCAGTTTTTCAGCTTCCAACAAATCAACTTCAGGGATAAAATGTTCACTTGCTGCCTAGTAGATCCCACCCACTTCCAGGTGCCATTGTAACCAGATAATCAATGTTATTCTCTTCACCTCTCAATGGTCAGAATGTTACGGCTGATCAGTGCATATCTCTGGTCAATCTGCCTTCAGATAGTTAAGTTTACATCACTACTCCTAGTTAATAAAAATTAAATGTACACCATAAAATAAGCCAGGTTACAGAATTCCGGTACATACCCTTCATTCCGGTTACCCCTGTGTGCATCAACATAAGTCACCTCTCCCGCTTTTCTCATAAAATCCTTCAGATCCTGAAACAATTAGAGATACATTAGCCTAAATCAAGGTAATTGTCTATCTATATAGAAACAAAATGAATATATTGATAATGAAGTGACGGGAGCTTGTTTTAAGTAAAAGATCCTAAAATAAATCAGTGTTAGTGTCATGTAGGAAAAGAGAGCTACATTGTATATTATACTGGTGCATTAAGTGTCTGCAGTGTAAGCACAGCATAGCATGTTAAACTTTCTGATAAAACAGACTTTACTAAGTTAATGTTACATGAGAAATGCAAACATATGGAATAATATAATAAATTGTAGCTCTTTTGTTTAACAAGATGATTGATACATATGCTTAACTAGTGTCCGAGTTTATAATTTGGTATTATATTATTTCAAGCCCAATTTACTTACCACAGGACACAACCAGAGGTCGGAGGTACCTTAAGCAAAGAGCCGCTTCTCCATAACCTAGATGACCTTGTGAGCAACTCACTTACAATGAGAAGGGCGGAAGGCGGCAGGAGAGCACCAGAGTCTCAGTAAGTGAGTGAAGTTAACCCTGAAACCACTGGATGCAATCACAGGAAATGGCTAGAGAACCTGAGGCTGACCTGAGCTAGCCACTCTTGCTCAACCTGGGCAAACCAAGATCTAGACCGGCAAAGCGGGAGGGTGATAGGAACCAAAAGGAAACTTCAGAACAGGCCCAGCCCTAGAATTTCAGCCATTAGCAAACCAAAAATTCTTGGGCTCTCCTCCACACAAGAGAAACGAGGCTTAACCCAAAGAAAGGCTGTTAAAAGAGGTTCAAAATGCACTTGGTTAGATATATGATTGTGGAAAAAAAATATTTACTACAACACAGGAAGGATCAATATCAGTTTAGTACGGGTATAAACAAAAAGGAAGATGTGTAACTTTTTGAAAAACACTATTAAAACGTGTTAATATCTTTGTGTAGTTTTGGATAATGAGCCATCCTCAGAACAGAAATAATTTGTTAACCACTTCAACATTTGTAAAACAGATTTCACAACTGACTGCCAAAAGGCTAAAATATAGAACTGGGAGATCTGAACTCAAATCCATCCAGAACAGTTCAGCTTTTGGCAGAAAGTGATAATGAAGCAGATTTGTTAAAGTAGGCCTATAGTAAAAAAAAAACAATTCTCATTTAATTAAGCAATCATTTTCCTTGATTTAAAAACTTATTGGGTTGGTTATAGATTTACTTAAATGGGCATATATATATATATATTTTTTTACTATAGGTCCACTTTAAAGTGATTCGGAGAGGATAGGTATTATATTGAAGCAGCCAAAGCTGACTTGCTTTTTAACAGTGCAAGTTTCAGGGCTGTCATCATATCCTGACCTGGAACAAAGATGCAGTCATTAAAGTCTAAACTGCTCCATTCTCCATACTTATTCCAGATCAGTAACATGCTAGGTAATAAATCTATGATCTGCATAACAGCCCTAGAGCTTGAGTCAACAGAGTCAGTGATGGCAGCTACTGTACTTTTATGTTCACAGGTCCCCTTCAAGTTACTTACCTACTCCACTGTAAACATCCACACCTCCCAGTCTCCCCACTTTTCTACTCCTACAGCTGTGACAGTCAGTGTGTTGATAGTTCCCTCACTGAAGTCACCACGTTTAACCTTAAAGTTACCCAAACTAGCAAAGACTTCTGAGCATTGAGCAGCGCAATCTGCAGCAGATGCGGCAATTCACTGTGATGGCCATATCCGACAGATATAATTGGTACAAAACCATGCTGAGCTGATATAGTTTGGAGAACAACATACCTAACTGACATTGGCATAAATGTGCCATTGCAGATTTCATAATTCTTGGTTGTATTTAACCTGGCTTTGCTAGTTGAGGCAGCACATAAACAAGCAGATTATGTGACAGGAAAGTCTAAAAGAACATCTCTCTGCAGATGTGGGCCTCTGTAGGTTCCTTAAAGCGTACCTTGCAGTGAAACGCAAGGTCTGCTTATTAGATCAGAGCCCTGTCCCTGTGTCTAACTTGACATATACTATAACTATATATTAGAAGAGAAAAAGTGTACCTGTGAGAAAAAAAAGAGTGAGAACACTTACCCTGCACTCATCCTCCACATTGCAGGGAATGACAACCATCTCTCCAAGCAAGATTCCTGGGGAATAATTAGCACCCTAAATCTCATGAAGAGACACTGCAGACCAATGAAAGAGTATCTTCCCACAAGATTTGGGATTCTTGTCATTCTAAAGCTGGGTATACACAAGATTTGTTTCAGAATGTTTGTTCAATTTGTGAATAGTTAAAAGGAGAATTATTGCGTGAGTGAAAACCACATCCCCATAATTCAAGCCGACCTGTGACACTCAAGCTGTCACAGGTCGGCTCTATTGATCAGGAAGTCTGCAAACACATACTGCCTTAGGGCTTGTTCACACGATGTCCAGATTCTGTCCAGACCAGGACAGTAACTATGTAAGCACCTGCACTAAAAACGCATCACAATGTATCCCTATGTGTTTTCTGGGCTCCAGTTCACACCAGAGCAGTGCTTTCTGTTCCGGACAGAAAAAATACTGCATGTCACATTTTTTCTGGTCCGGAACACAGAAACGCGTACGAACGCGGCAAAAACGCACCGCACCTAAATGGAAAAAAAAGTGTACTCTTGCTCCACTTTTGATGATCTCATCAACATTGGACTTCCTGTTTGTGGTGGAGAAGCAGAAGGGAACCCGCTACAGTTGAGCAACATGTCCCAGGACACCGAACGTTTTGTGGGTTTGGTGGAGCATGTTCCATAGATTTATGACCCTCGGCATCCCCAATATAAAAATGCGCATCAGAAAAATGAGAAGTGGAGAGGGATTGCCTCCAAGCTCCATGAAGACTTTGCTTTGTTCACTAGTGTGCAAAAGCATGACTGCGGATTAGCTTAGAGTGTAAAGGTGATACTAGGGGTCTTTTGGACCCCCAGTATCACCTTAAAAAGGACCTCTCACCACCAATATGCCATCACATAGGTGTCTTGGAAGCCCCCCCATGTGATAGCAATTAAAGTTAAAACAAACAAAAAAACGTTTTAAAAAATAAATGTAAAAAAATTCAAAGTCCCCCGCCCCGTGTCGTCACGTAAACATGCATCGGGTGCGCCTACGTATGAAAACGATGAATGTGCTACACATGGTGGGTATCGCCGCACATGCCAGAGTGAGAGCAATAATTCTAGGGTCAATGTTTATGCGTATCACTAAACTGATGACCTGAAGGTGCTTTTAGAGCGTGGTGTATGGACTTTTTGGGGTTCTGAATTCTGTCGCAGTTTCACGGACGCACACAATTTGTAACCTGGGCATGTTGGGTATATATTTACTCGTTGTAACCTCATCTTTTATATTTTACAAGATAAAACGGTTTTATATTGTGTTCTGGGGCACTAAATTTAACTTAAATGCATTTTTCACTAAATTTTTGGGTTTGATAATAAGCTGCGCTGATGTCGTGTAACTTAAAAATTTGCATTTGCCACCATTTTATTCTACAGAGTCTTAGCTTTCAGAAAATATATGTTTGGGGTTTTTTTTAAAAATAATTTTGAGGCCTAAAATGTGGATTATAACATGTAAACAAAAAAATGAAAAAAAGGACGGTTTGTCCTTATGGGGTTAATGCTCCTCTCCCTGCAGAGAGCAGTGACCATCAGTCACCCCTCCACGCGGAGATTCCCCCCCTTCCCTCTCCATTTCTCTAATGCTGACTGGAGGAACGGAAGGGTGAGGGGCTGCTCTACCTCCAGACAGTATTGTCGGGATCCGTCCCAGCTGTGCGCTCTCAACATATAGCGGGCAATAGAATTTTGTTTAGTAAATTTTTCTAAACAAAATTCTAGCGGTGAACGTGGTTTTTGTCTGGGAAATTCCTTTCATTTCCAAATTGAATGTTAAAACGAAAATTAAATGTTCTGACAAAGTTTTTGTATAAGACCATCGGTGCAAAGTACTAACCGTGTGTAACCAGCTTTAGGATTTCACCAGAAAAATCTTGTTGTCACCTTCACCTAGCAGCAGTGGGTGGAAGATGGGGGTAAAGCAAGTACACAATCTAATGTTTATCATGCCGCAATTTATCCCGGGGAGAGGGCCCTGATTTAATAAGTGAACCATGCGAATTACTGCAAGGTCCACTTTATTCATCATCTGTCCATAACTAAATAAAACATTTTTATTTTCTTACATTTTTATTTTTAACATTTTTGGTTTCTTTTATGTGTCCCATAAAAGAAACCAAAAGTGCACAGAACATGCATTTTCTTTTTAAACCAGCAGTTGGGGGCAAAATGTTATCTTAATTCAAGTAAATGGGACTCATTGTTTTATCTTTGTCTACATTATACAAAATATTTAGGTTCCACTTTGGTAACCAGGCATGTCATTTTTATACTCTTATAGAACAGGGCAATCCTCTGTGTAATAAATTAGAATTCATTATTACAGGATCTAAAATGATTAAAAAGAAGCTTGAACATGACCTATTTAACACTTCAGAAGTAGAATTTAGGCTTGTATTATTCATGAAAGAAATGGCAATGCCTCAACACTGAGTCTGTGCTCCTATTAGAAAATGAAACCCAAAACTAGCAGAAGCTTTATTGGCTAATATTACAGGTTCATTCCAAGAATTCATGAATTTGGTTTCTCAGAAGATTCTGTAATTGTATTAGCAAACAATAACTGCTTTGCTAAACAATGGCACCAAAATGTCTGCACTGATATAAAAACCAACATAAAGGATAAAACAGGAAAAAGAACACAGTTAAATAAAAAGGTAACTGCAGACAGCACACATTCACAAAGAATAGAAGAAACAACGCTTTATTCACACAAGTCATTTTTCACTTTTGCTGTACCTTGGCTTAACACCAATGAATGAGGAAAGATGTACAAAGATTCCCAGGACTGCTGCACTGGAAGCTCTGTCATGAACTGGAGAAGTATCTTGGTGGGTAGAGAAATGTATGGGGCAATGCACGTAACCCAATAAAGTTATTGTAAGGTGGTAAGCACTAAAGTGCTTATAAAGAGCCTACAAGTTGCCATAGCGATAGACAATAAAAGGTCTTCTATTTCAGATAGATCTTTAATGCTTGTTTGTTCCACTTTACTGAAATTCTTTTTTTTCAATTTAAATTACAATTGGTCAACTCTGCCTAAAAGAGTAATATTCTATGAACCCAGCTCACCCAGACCAATCTGTAACTGAACAGGAGCCAAATGCAATTTTCTCTAGAATTGAAGACGTGTTTCTTAATGCAATGCGAGTATGTGCAGGTTGTGTTAACCTTTAAAAGTCAATGATGGTTTCTTCATAGTCATTTTAGTTTAAAAGATCAGAATCCTGCTCACCTGCCAGCTGACACGGGAAGAAAGATTCTCAACAATGATCCTGTGCTCTGTGCGAACTGGGGGTCCATACCTAAAGAACAATACAAATCATTGCATGTTATACTATAGGCCTAATCTTCTGTTAATAGACCATAACACAGAACAAAGAAAAAACAACCGTAATAAAAGGATTTCAGCAGCCAGTCACCTGCAAATTATTTGCTCTGGAAATGCATTTCACCATCATTAGACAGTGACAATCATAAGGTGCAGCAATCTACAGTATCTAATGTTGCTTTGTCACAAATTGGAACGTGAAAATTAGATATTATAGATGCACCAAAACAGATGCTAGTATTGGTGCCGATACAGAGTGTTTGGGCAAGTACTCTTACTCGCCCAAATGCTCAGATACCGAACTTCTGGTCAGAGGAAGATTTTCTCTGAAAGGCAGTGTCGTAGGGGGAACATGGAGCCGGCTTCCTGGGCAATCAGGAAGCCGGGTGGTGAGCAATGACCCGCCTTCCAGGTTCCTGATTGGCTTTCCAGCCAATCAGCATGGAGCCGGCTTCCTGGCCAATCAGGAAACCGGGAGGCGGGTCATTACTCTCCACCTGGCTTCCTGAGGCCGGGAAGCCGGCTCGTTACTGATTGGCCAGGAAATTGGCTTCCCAGCCAATCACAATTGAGCCGGCCAAACAACACAGATGCGGCTTCCCAGGCAATCTGGGAGCTGGGTGGCATGTCATTTTACCCGCCGCCCGACTTCCCAGGAAGCTGGCTCCATGCCAGTGGAAGCACCGGTATCAGCGAGTAGCAAAAGCAAAATATCGGTACTCGTAACCGAAAAACCGGTATCGGTGCATCCCTAATGATTGGTATAAAAAGTTAACACTTATAGTGCCTAAGATCAGCAATCAGCTACAGTGTATACATACCAAGCCAGCTTTCAAACTAGATGAAATATATTTTGTATCTGGCCAACACAGGATAATTCGACTTACAACCATCATACCTCATTTATGTAGCAAAGTAGTACAGATACAGAGAGCATAAAAAATAAACATGGAATACCAAAATCCTCTTTTTGTTTCTTGTACTTTGAGGGCAAAAGAGGGGTGGGCAACACAGCAACAAAGGGTTAACAAAGCCAAAAAAAAAAAAAACCCACAAAGAAAACTGGGGAACACCTGCAGGTAAAATAGTTGCCTGAAGGATCTGACGCTTGAAGCTGGCACCAGATGAGGTCTGAATATCTGTCTGGTAGAACTTAGAAAATCTAAAACCAAGTGGTGGTCTTGCAAACTGGGAAAAGTTGCTTGATGCCAAAAAAAACTTGTGCAGCTGGTACAGTGTGCTTGGTAAGGGTGAGACCCAATCCTTGAGAGCATAAGTTTAAAGGCTGGTCTGTCTTAGCCACCTAGAGATGGTGAAATGAGAAGCCAATGCACCCATTCAGGAAAACAGAAAGGGAGTTTCTCTAATGAGTTCACACAGTGATCTTGAACCAGCTTCATATTCGTCACATGGGAGCAAACAAGGACAGCTACATGGGAGCCTTCTCTGAACAAAGGTCCGAAAGACCAATGATGGCAGAAAACGTAGCCAAGCTTTGGTCCAGACCCAGCCACAGGAGATTCATCCCACGGAGAAATTACCAGGGTAGAAGACTCAACACTCACATAGAGTAAATTATGCCTTCCATGTCCAATGATAGAGTTATGGGAAGTAGCCTTCCTAGCTGCTAGGATCGTAGAAATCACAAAATCAGAGATTCTCCCCGATTTAAAAAAACAGGGCTTTAACAGCCATGCAGTTAAAGCCAGCGACCTTGAACTGAATATCCTGACTATCTGACAGAGCTCGCACAGTGTCTGCCAGGAGTCTTACCAGGCTGATGTACCACATGCACCTGGTCCAGTCCAGAGAATGAAGTGCACGGGAATGCTCTCCATCCCAATCCCAAGAAGCAGAAAAAAAGTTTCAAGAAGGAAATGCATAGATCAGGGTGTACTAATCCCTCAGCACCACCAGAGCATCCACTGTTCCCACTAGAGGAGCCCTGTACCTGGAATAAAACCCATTTGGTTTGTTGTTGAACCTACAGGACAGGAGGTCTACATCCAGCACTGAGTTTGCTCAATAACATATAGTAACTAGTGACTGTTTTCCTGTGATACTTACAGGCCGTCAAGCTGGCATTGTTGAACGGAATCATGGACTGGCCTCTTTCAGCTCTGAGACTCCAGTGATGAGATTTCCATCTAGTAGTTTGTGTTTCTACCCATTCTATTAAAAGCGAGAACTATGGGGTTAAGGCTTTTCCCCATAGTTCTCCTTAGGGTAACGGAAGGACACAAACAAGCGTCCTCCCGTCACCCTAGGCTCAGTATACCGCGAGCTGTAGCTCGCGGTATACTGAGACGCCACAGCTGAAGCGGATCCTGACAATTATGTCTGGATCCACCCAGCTGCGTGACTGACAGCTGGCTCTGCCTATCTAGAGGCAGAGCCAGCTGTACCCGCCCCCTCCCCCGTCCGTTCCGTCAGTCAGCGCTGGCAGATCGGAGCGGGGAGAGGGGAATCCAGCCCTTACCCTGTAACGGCAGAGAGCCGTGACAGGATCGAGAGGTGAGTGAACGCCGGTATGTGTTTGCTCACCTCCAGATCTACTAAGCCGACCGGTGACAGTCTCAATGTCACAGGTCGGCTAGAACTATGAGGTGAGTGAAAAGCACTCACCTCATAGTTCTCCTTTAAATAGTTACATTTACAATACAGAGAGTCTGGGGAAGCTTGGCACAAGTGTTTGGCTTTATGATGACTGGGAGAGTTGGACAAAATTGGAAATACTGAACTTGGGTCTTTGAAAGATATAGTAAGCCACAATGTGACTTACTTGGCAAGCAGCTAAAGAAAACAATATTATTTGTTCTTGTGGAGTAAGCTTTTAAGGCTGAGCAGCTATATTACCTGGGTCCACCACTGTTAGACTGACGATAGCCAAAACGCATGGGGTACCGCCCTCCACCACCTCCTCCTCCCATCATGCCTCCTCTTCCTCTACGATTTCTGGCATGTTCAATTGTGACTCTTGAATAGTGGGGGGAAAAAACAACTGCATCAACATTCTGTGCATAATAATGGAGAATTTAGCCAATGCTAAATATGCAAAGACATAAACAGAAAAACTGAGCCAGTATTGTCAGTGTACTGAATGACAATTAAAACTTGAAAATCTTTGATGTTGCTGGTCAGACTGCTGACTTAGCAGGCAACAGGACCATACCTTTCATTGCACAGTTCTTTTCCATTCAGTTCATATACAGCATCATCGGCATCTCTGTGATCTTCAAACTCCTATAATAAATCAAACGGCAGATATGGCTTCTCAGATCATTTCTTTTAAACACTGAACAGTTTTTTTTTCAGTGCAGGCAAAATATTGAGCAGAAGTGGTCCATAAGACCTCAGGTGTGTGAAACCAGGCAACGGCTGTTGCAAAGCAACCTCTCTATATAAAGAGCATCATGGGAACAGAACATGTAAAACAGCAGGAAAGCCTCGTGTTAAATTAGTAGGAATTGTGTGATTTTTCTACAAGAAAATGTAATCTCTTTAATTTGTTATTTTGCAAGTTTGTAGAATTCTTCTAAAGTCCACCAAATACCACACATTCGAAATACATCATTCAGCTCACTGTAACCTGCAGTATAAAAAGGGGAGACCAATTTAAACTGGCAGGAGGGGTACGATTGTCCTCGGTTATACCTCAAATTACAGATTTTTAGTGTCCCCTGAGGGTGTGCTCTGTCATGAGGGTGATTATTTTACCGTTATTACTCAGAGAGACTGACCAGAAGCATTTTCTCTCTTTTAATCTAAACTATATAGATGGTTTTACATGTCAGGTAAAACTTACCACAAATCCAAATCCACTCTTTAGGTTTATCTCCCGGATACGGCCATATCCTTTGAAAAACTTCTCCACATCTCTTTCACGGGCGTGAGGACTCAGCCTCCCTATAAATACTCTGCAGCCACTCATATTACCTAGAAAACAGGGAAAACAAAATTTGGTCAGAGGCTGATATTTTTGGTAAGTGTGTACCTGTCTCCCGGGATTTACCCAGCCCTGATTTAGTATAGAATGATGATGAAAAAGGTTCAGCTTTAAAACTTTGCAATTGTCCTGTATAAACTGTAAAATGATATCTTCTGTTTTGCAGTAAAAAATGATTTCTTGGTAACCTCGGTAAATGGCAGGATTCCCGCACCACGAAGAATAATACATGTTGCTTCCTTTCAGCAAAGACCAAGAATACTGCAGGTAATATTGGTCACAAAGGGGCTGTCAAGGAAGGAGGAGACACCTAAATCCCCATAGCTTTGGTTCTGGGTGTATCTTTTGAATTGGGAAAAATAAAGCAGATGTTACTGAGAAGATACAAGCTGAGGGAATGATTTATAAAAAGCACAAAAAAAAAGAAGCTTCTTCTGCCTTACAACTATTTTTTTTTTTTTATTTCCTTACCTGAACTAGGAACACAGCTGTAAATACAGCTACTGAAAGGTTAACACTCCTGCCCTAAAGTGACCCTGACAAATCAAGCTAGTTACCTGGTAACTTTATTTCTAGAATTCTTCAAGGACAGCACAAGACAGCTGCTCTGCTCACCTAAAACAGGAAACACAAGGCTCACAACTAAATAAAAAGCATCAGAGCCCTGCATGCCTTAGAAATAACAGAGAACCGAGAGAACCGACGCCTGGGTACAACTGCTTCAATATCATTGAAACAAAAAAAAGCAGTAAATATAAACCAATACCATAGGGTGGGAATACCCTGTTGTCCTGAAAGATTTTAGAAAAAGAAGTAAACAAGCAATTAACTTGGTTTTCTCCAATCTTCCAGGTCAGCACATAAGGATAATAAAGAGGGAATGCTTATTGTGGGACTTTTCTGCCAGACAAAAAAAGATGGAATCACGATGTCCTGTGACCTGTGAAAGGGTGCGACTACTTTGGATAAAAACCCCAGATCTACTCGGAGAATAATTCTGTCTGGAAATACAAAGAAAAATGGGTCTGACATGGACAGGGCTTGGATCTCATTTGCCTTCCTAGAGGGAGTTAGGGCTACTAGTAAAGGTGCTTTCAGTGTTACATTTCTGGCTGAAAAGGTGGTGTTTGCAAAGCTCTGACTACTGTCAAGTCCCATTGGGGACTCCTAAACAGAATAAAAGCAACTACTTGCAGTTTTTTAGTATGCAGTACTAGTTTTGAATGAGATGTGTTGTTCTGCCACTTCCTGAAGGAACTCTAATGGAAAGACTAGCATACTATGTGGTTCTTCTGTTTTGTGTACGTCATAAATAAATGGCATTAGTAACTTTGTCTGACATTATAGTGTCAGTGACTTTGCTTGATAGATTCTGCGCTTTCAGCAGTTCCCGCTCAAGTGCCAAGCTCTTAAACTTAGTTGATGTACTTTTAGATGCAGCCCTGGCCCCTGGTGTATTAAATGGTAGATTCAGTAGAACAAAAGGTTGGGAAAAGGTTAAACTTTTAGAGACTGCTGAGCCACTGAGGTGTTGTTCTGCTAACCGCAGAATGTCCTCTGCAATTGACATCAGGAGTGGTGACTTGGTTTCTCCTTGCTTGCCCCAGACATGTTTTTGGGTAACATGAGAAATAAATGCTATTGGAGCTTTCCTCTAGCTAGGATCTCAGTTGCATTTTAAGACTTATCTGCCCACTTTTTGCTGCATTTCTCCTGGGTGACAAAGTGCTCTAGATTGGCTCCCAACCCACAGGCACTTGCATCCGGGGTAACCGATATTGGGTTGGTGGGAAGCCAGTTTCAACCTTGCAACAGGTTTGCCTGGTTTTTCCACCAAAGCAATTTGTGTTTTGTTTGGGGGAAACGGGGCTTGATCGTCCAAAGTTGTCTGAGAATGTCTTGAATGGCTTTGAGTCCACTGCACTGCTGGTATCGAAGAGGTCATAAGTCTTTGGAATTTCATTATAGACTTTATGGATGGGGCAATAACCTCAGCAAGGCATCCACTTCTAACAGTAGCTTCTGTATTTACTGGAGTCTATTTCATAGCTGGCACAAGATTTGGATTTTCCCTGTTTATGATCCACTCCATCTTTTCTAGATGGCAAAGTTTCATATTCAAGCCTGTTACTAGCTGAGCCTCTGAACTAAGAATAGGATGTTGTCCAAATATGGCACCAAGACAATTGCCCTCTCTCAAGGGGATCAAGATCTACTAGAATTTTGGAGAACTATGAGGTGAGTGAAAAGCACTCACCTCATAGTTCTAGCCGACCTGTGACAATGAGACAGTCACAGGTCGGCTCAGTAGATCGCGAAGTGAGCGAACACATACCGGTGTTCGCTCACTTCTCGATCCTGTCACGGCACAGAGCCGTGACAGGGGAGGGGCTGGATTCGCCCCTCCCCACTCCGATCCGCCAGCGCTGACTGGCGGAACGGATGGGGGAGGGGGCAGGTACAGCTGGCTCTGCCTCTAGATATGCAGTCAGCTGTCACTCACGCAGCTGGGCGGATTCAGACATAATTGTCGGGATCCGCTTCAGCTGCAGTGTCTCAGTATACCGCGAGCTACAGCTATACTGAGCTTAGGGTGATGGGAGGACGCTAATTTGTGTCCTGCCGTTACCCTAAGAAAAACCATGGGGAAAAGCCCTAACCCCATAGTTCTCCTTTAATCACTGATAAAACTAAACTGATGAACAGTAAAAGCGTTTTAATCGTCGCCTATGGGCGTTTTGAGATTTTTGCGGGCGCACGCAATTTTAAGGCTTGACATGTTTGGTGTCTATTTACCCGACGTGACCCCGACTTTTATGTTTTACTAAAAATATGGGTAAGAATAAAATGTTTTATGACATAACGTAGGGAAACTTTTGTTTTTTTTTACATTTATGGTACTTTTTTAATTATATAGTAAAAAAAAAACCCCCAGTGGTGATTATATACCTCCAAAAGAAAGCTCTATCTGTCCCCAAACTTTTTTAACATAAATTGCAAGGCTATAGTCCGGTCATGCTGACTGGTGACATTTTTGACTGACTGGTGAGACACTATCAAATTTTTCAAGATATATATACACACACATATATATATTCTTTATAATTGCATGCATTATATTAGACATTTAAATTAGTTTCATGGATTTAAAATAAAATGAATTGTAAAACTACAATACAAGAAAATAGCCAAACTTTTATTTAAAATAAATAAAAGCCCGGACATCAGTTCAGAGTTAGCCATGAATATTGGCCTGGAAAATGATTGCTCTCACTCCGGCACACGCGGCGATACCCGACATGTGTAGCACAATCGTAGTTTTCATGCGTAGGTGCACAAGAATTGTGTTTGTATGTGTGCGTTTGCGGGGTCGGGCAACTTATTGGGGGGTATTTTTTATTTTAAGTTCAATTTTGAAATTTTCTTTTATGTCATTGCTGTCACATGGGGGGCTCACAAGCTCCTTAACCTTCCTGGCGGTCTTCCTGAGTGTGGCTTGGGGTTAATTTTCAGTACCATAAGCGGTAACCCCGAGCCACACTCGGGAATACACAGTAGCGTTACTCACCTTGTCCCTCGAGCCACGCTGTATCCTCTGGCCGAAACCGGCATCCGTCCCTTGCGAGCGTCCACGTCGCAGGGGGGCGGAACCGGTGGGAATTTAAAAACAAAAAGAAATAATCAGAATGCCAGGGAGGTTAAAGGATAGCACATTTGAGATGTCTATTAGACCTCTAGTGTGGCCTTTCCACTTCACTGGGGAATGACAGCTGCATGCTGAAGCAGCTGAATGTAAATACAGCATGCAGTGGCTGGGAGCAATAGCCAGCCTCCTATTGGCTATTTTAAACTACAAAAGCCAACAGCAGGCTGGCTATTGCACCCTCCAAATGCCTGCTGTAACCGCCCACTGCCTGCTGTCAATCAGCAGAGGAGGGAACTGAAGAAGAAAGTTCCTCTTCAGGACCTCCTCTGCTGATTGACAGCAGGCAGTGGGTGGGTGCAATAGCCAGCCTGCTATTTGCTATCGCAATTTAAAATATCGAAAAGCAGGCTGGCTTTTGTTTCCTAGCTGCTGATGGGAGACTGGACACCAGTGTTCCATCAATCCTTCGGACTCGAGTCCGAGGGATAAACAGAACACTAGCAGAAGATGGGGCATAGGGAGAAGAGAAGGGAACAGGATGGGCAGAGGAGGAGGAACAGGGCAGAAGCGGAGGTACGAGGGGGGCATGCATAGTCATTGCAGTCTCTTCTCCTGCTGGCTGCAGTGGTCTGCGTTTACGCTGCCTCTGCCAATACAGACGGGAAGAGCAGCGGGGATTGAGAGGGACACAGACCGCTGCAGCCAGCACCAGCGGAAAGGAGAACGGAAGAGCAGAGCGGTGGCGGCAGCTGCTGCTGCAAATAATCAACGAATCGATAATGAGAATAGTTAGCAACGATTCTCATTATCGATTATAATCGATTAGTTGTTGCAGAGCTATTAGCAATAATAGAGCTTGTTCACACCAATTACAGTGGATTCCAGAGCGGTAGCTACTGGAACACACTGTAAGCAGCTACTGCTCTGGAACTCACTGTAATTGGTGTGAACAATAGGGCTGCAACAACTAATCCATTTAATCGATAAGAATCGCTGTCAATTATTTCATTATCGATTAGTTGCTACCATCGCTCTGCTCCACCTTTCTCCTCCTTGCTGGGAGCCACTGCATGCTGTGGTTTGTGTCCCCTTCGATCAGAGACAGATTCTGAACCCGCCCATGTGACAGCAATGAAGTGTTAAAAAAAAAAAAAGTTAAAAATACCCCCCAAAAAGTTTTAAATAGTTCCAAACCCGTGAATGTGCGCATACTAACGGAAACGCAAGTTGGGGGCACCTACATTCAAAAACTATTATTGTGCTACACATGTCAGCTATCGCCACGTGAGCCAGAGTGAGATCAAGAATTGTTGCAATGCCTTGTGTTCCAGTGCAGTGCGATTG